TTTTTTCCCAATTTCTATTCATTTCACCTGCCTGAAAAACCCGGTTTCGCCCGGTAACTAATTTTTTTGAAAATAAATTATTTTACAGCTATTTAGCCTGGGACTAAATGTGACAAATGCGGCCGGAAAAGTGACGGGGCGGCCGGTAAAGTGACAGGGTGTCGGAAAGTAGTCAGCGTGGTCTGCCTCCGTCATGGAATAGTAGTTTTCAAAATCGAGTAAAAAATTGGATGCCAATTTCCCTGGATAAACATAAATTGAAAACTTCCTTTCGAAACATTGCGTCATTTTGAAAATGAAAGAGCTGTAATTTTTGTTTTATGAGTATTTTAATTCTTTAACCTTCGCTTTAATAATTATATTGAGTCCACTAATGGAAATAGGGGAAATGTGGTTCGCGAATGTTTTACGATTACAAACTTTTCTTTGTTTTAGTCTGCAGTTTATCTTCTAATAGGCCAAACCTTATGGGAAACTAAAAAGGGAATGTGGGTTTTGTTTTCGCCAAGTCAAAGAAATAATTTCACGCCGGTTTAATTTTGATATAACGGAACTTTTATGAAGAGTGTTGTACGAAAATACTATTTTTAGTTAGATAAGAAGAAAATTTTAAGAGACATTTGTCAAGTCTATAGATCGATTAGCCCAGAGGTTATGAAATTTGGTGATACCATAGTAAACCATAGAATTATGTACAATTGTACACTATGGTGCTACTAAGTGAATCTTAAACTAGACTAAAGATTTAGATTTTAACCGCTTCGTTGGCATCACAACTCCAAACTTTCATTCTACAAGTTGCAAAGTTAAAATTCTGCATTGTAATGTCCAGAAATCTCGTTGCAATAAAGCAAATTAACTATAGCGCGTTCGCACCTCCAGATGCAGTATGGTGCTTATGGACATACAGTACATGCTTGCCAAACGTGTCAATGACAGCACAAGGAGATTATGTTATGTTTTAATACTTCNTATTATCGAAGAATGACGCAAACTAGTAAGAGAGGCAATTAGTCCATAAGACCCCATACTGCATCTGGAGATGCGAACGCGCTATAACTAAATTCAATTCACTTTGAATTTATCTGCTGCGAAAGATGGAGCAAAGCCCCTTTGTTTCTATTCTATTCTATTCTAGTAACCAAGTGTCATATATTCTACTTCTCTGTAATTACATTTAAACAAAGAGGGCGAAAGGACAACAATGCAATCTCCGCACCCTCCCTGGTGGAACAAGGCGCAAGTAAATTAGAATTGAATTTACGTAAGTCCATATTGCAAATAATACATGCAATTACAAACGTGAGGGAAGTTATTACGCCCCAAGTGGTTATGAAACGATAAGCTTAACTGTTATTTGCTAAGAGAGGTGCTAGGATGATGATACCACTCCTAAACGGCGGCGCCCTACACTGATAGTTATAGGTAATAGAATTTACCTACACCCAAGTTATCGAAAAACTTTTCTTTGTCAGAGTCCTTTAAGGATAGCTACCTTACACTAGGAATTTGAAAGATGCAAGTTTTTAACATCCTGAAGTAGTAAATAAAATCCTTTGGATACCGTTAAACAGCCCTTGTCTCCAGCAATTTCAAATATAAAACCAAACTCCATCGTTATAATCCAATAAATCTGCTCCGATTTTATTATCCTTAACGTTTGAGACTCGAAATAGGATTTTATTTATCGTAAACGATTTCAGCACAAAGAAATCAAACGGGCACGAGAAACCGAGTTAATGAGTTTCTTTGCAAATTTATCGTCTTACCCAAATCTCGCTTACAGTGCTAATCTGCGCCTCTTTGTTTCAGTTTTCTGAATGGACGGATCATGACAGAGACGATATACCGGACATAGGTAAGTGAAATTCTTATTTTTGCGTCATAAATTATATGCCATGAATTATTTTTTCTGTAATAAATTTTCTATCTGCGTACATAATCAATATAAATATATATATAAATATGGGAGTTTTTATGATTTATTGTTTCTCTTTCAGCATGAACGAATATCGATCACATCCACGCATATAATTGATTAAATAAGATCTAGTTATATCGAAGTCGTTTGCCATTATAGTCAATTTGGCTTTTCTTTTCGTGATAGCAATAACAGCGATTAAAGAGCATTAAATTCTCCTCCACCCAGTTTACAATCTTACTGTACCGTTTTTTGCAAATGTCTGGAATTAAGTAGGTCATTTTTCCCATATTCTGAAATGAACCTACAAAGTTATGGATGGGCTGGGGGTGTTCTTCCTCCCCTACACTTTGACGCGCCATTAGCGTGCTTGATTGAGAATCGCAATCAAGCATTTGCTGTTATAGTTTACTAGTGTAATTATTCATGAGGCGTGTGCATCTCAAAAGGGTCGCACACCGTGGTTAATAATTAATTTTAGATACAACGATGGTGTCCATCGCAGCTGTTAGTTTGTGAAGTGTTTGTCGTAATATTTAATAATCTTACGGGGAGGTGTTTGACAATTGGACATTGTTTGCTTTATTCTCACCAGGTGGAGGAGAGATTGAAGGGGAGTTACAAACGAGTAAACTTTCTCTAGAAATAAAAGGATTATCGAGCATTAAAATTTCTTGATGTTTATAACACGTTATAAAACCATTAGTCCCGTCGGTATGGAGCTTTGGTATGTTGTGATGAAAAAGCGCTCGTTGCCATTAGAATTGTTACATTCAAAAACGGAGCAGAAGACCACTATTCAGCAAGGGGATGTAGTTACAATTTTGGGCATTTGCCTTTATAAGGTAGGTAACTATGTCATCTTCCCTCTGGTTATCTTCTAGCTACAGTGCATCCTCGAATTGCTCTTCTAGCATTCTGCTTCTATACCATACTCAAGAAGATCTGTTTCTGGGCGTTGCCTTGCTACACAACTGACGTGTTTAATATATTACCACATCATAGTTTTATTATGACATATAACTTTAAGTGTTCAAAATTGTTACTCAACAAAAGACACTTTTTCTCAATTTTAGAATTTTTAACCCAACCTCAAAGCTCTGTATCTTGGGATCTATTCCATCAGACAGATGATTTTTTAAAACAAAAGTAAATTTCAGGTGCTTTAATTTTTAGGAGTATAATTTTACATCGGATTGACTATTCTAAAAGCAAAAATATAAAAAAGTTCAAACATTTCGTCTGTTTGGGCCCTTTGAAGTTAGCACAACCAAAGCTTGTTGGAAAAATGAGGTGTAGTACTAATAAACACCACCGAACAACATACCAAACTTTCCAAAACTTGCATTTTTTGCAAGCTACCGCACGTATTTTAAATTATGCTTACTAGACTACATGAGTTATATCAGTGGAATTGTAACGGAAGTCTACGATTCCCCCACTTTCGACACTTTTGTAAGGCATATATAGGGTAATTATCAGTGCTATCAAAAAAGTAATGTAGGCACCATGTGCTCTTTTAGAGTTAAATTTAAATGGTAAACTAAAAATTTGAGAATAATCGCTCTCTTAAGAGATACAGGGAAAATAAAAAATGTCAATTTCAGAATGACCCTAAATTTTCATAGTTAAAGGAGGTTCCAAATAATGCTTATTACAAAAGTTTCCTTATGATTGTTGAATAATATGCCGTTTTCAAAATAAATATATGTAATTAGGTGAAAAGTTACCTACCTATTTGTTTTTAATTTTTTTGAATTACGTTAATCTATTTGGGATATCGTGTCCTTGGGTTATGTTTGAAAAAATAATTTAACATGTTATCTATTTAGATGAAAATATCCGTGACGTTTCATTAAAAAAATCGGGTTAGGTCTTTTTTACCCGATCCCGTATACTTATTCTAAAAATGGTAGTCATTCTGAAATTATTTTTTTTACTTTCCCCCGTATCTCCTAAGCTCTCTGGATTAAGGGTGGACGCGTACTTAGGGCTCAAATTCGGGACCTTTGTACTACCTCCGTCATCAGGCACCTCAACGTCACTCAAGCCATTCCACACGTGAGATGAACCTAAGGATGTTGGCAGTGGCGTATCCAAGGTATGGCAGACAAGGCATATAGGTACCCTGGGCTCTAATGCCGAGGGGTCACCAAAGTCGAGGGTGCCTCAGTTGGCACTGTGGTAAACAAGATTCCGCAAAACTTAAAAGTGAATTTTGGCTAGTGGTTCGAAATAATCGTATTCCCTGATAACAAACCTGATGCAAAATTTATGCAAATTTCATTCATTTATCTTATATTTCGTTTGTTTAAAACGTTAACAAAATCTGATGATAGATTTTTATGGGGGCGCAATTACATTACTTGCCATGGGCGTCATTTCACTTCGTTACGTCACTGGATCTTGGGGGGGAGCCGGCTCTAATCCGGTCAGGTTATCCCTAACATGGAT